ATATTTACTACCAGTCGAGCCATAGCATCAACTTCTTGGTAAAACCAGAATTTGGAGAGCAGAGGACTAAGGCATACTAAAGAAATTAAAAATCAATTAACCCATTTTCTCTTAAAATTTTTGGTTGCGCGTGCCTGTGGATAGAAATTATAGATAGTTGCATGTATATATGTAGTAACTTAGTCTGGAGATTTTTCTATTGTCTATTTATTATTTTAATGGATGCTGGGCATGAGACCCAAAGGCCACTCACATTGAGAATAAAGAATTCTTTTCATACATAGTTGGAGGCCATAAAGAATTAAAAAAATTGTTAGACATGGAATTGTATCGTCAAGTGATTCTTTTGTTATCCTTTGGGGCCGTGCGCTCATTTCAGCCTCTTTGGGTTCTTAAAAAGTAAGGCATCGTGGTCAAGTTCCCTATCCTTTGGCACTATCAAGAATATAGCAAGTCCAACAGTAAAGCCATTACATTTAAGCCCAGTCCTACTAAAGCCAAATAGCTAATTGTATTCTTCAAGTATATTCTTTTCTTCTTGTACACTAGACACGTGTCTCCCTCTTATGTAAACTAGGGTTTCTACCCTGTCTATATATAGAATAGAAAAGGACCTTGAGCAATGCGCCCCACTAAAAACATTTCCTTTCTTATTATAATCTTGTCTTGGTATTAGAGCACTGTGTGGTTAATTACCAATAACAAATCACGAGGAAGGAGGTGAGTCCCATAGCAACCCTCAAACACCAGCCACGGGTTCAAGCAATAGTGAAGAAAGTTCCATTGTTTCTGCTTCTCTTTTATCAAAACTGACTGAAAAAAAAATAGCCCATTATCTCAGCCCTGCTCTATTAAGTTGGACAGACGACTCAACTATTCCTAGTGGCTCACACATGTTCTTCCTTTTATCAAGAGATAAGCTGGAAGGTTTCATTAATGGAACCAAATGCTGCCCCTCACAATTCATCACTGAAGGCACTGAGACAAAAATCAATCTAGCTTTTGAGGATTGGGTGGCTGCAGATCAACTCCTGTTCAATTGGTTGTTAAACACGATGACTCTAGAAATTTCCCCTGAAATGATCCCAGTCTCAACTTTTGCTGGTCTGTGGCATGCTGCAAAAGAGATGCCTAGAGCTCAAATAAAGTCTCACTTGCTTCTTCTTCGTTCTGAACTTTAAAGAACCAGGAAGGGTTCTACAAAAATGGCTGAATACTTAGCTAAAATGAAAGGCTTAGCTAAACAACTTTCTTTGACCAGGAGTCCTATACCCCTACCAGACCTCATTATTCAAGCTCTAGCTGCTTTGGATAGAGATTACAATCTAATTGTTGTGCAGCTATCAAACCGAGCTGACAAAATAAGTTAGATAGAAATGCAGTCCCATCTTTTTACCTACGAAAGTCGTCTTGAGCAGCTTCAACAAATCTCACAACTCCCTTCCCACTTTGCTAACTATGCCAGAATGGATGATGCTTTTTCTCCTAGATCTTATGGGAACTCTTTTTCCAGAAACACATGGCGTGGAGGTCATGGCAACAAAGGAAGAAGAAACTGTAGAAGAAACAGATGTGGTCCTTGGAGAAACAACATCAATAACAACAGTAATACTCCACCAAAATGCCAACTATGTCAAAAGATTGGTCATGTAGTTGAACACTATTTTTATTGTTATGACAAGTCTTTTGTTCCTTCAAGTAACAAGAAAATGAATAGAACAATCTACTCAAAACTGGATAGTCCCTATTGGGCTACTCCTAAAGTGGTGAATAATGACTCTTGGTACTTAGACAATGGAGCTACTAGTCATGTGACGAATGACCTCAACAAGATTGAGAATGCCTTTGACCCTAATGGTAAGATAAATATTGTTGTTGGTGAAGGTTTTAAATTAGACATACAAAAAGTTGGTTCATCAACTATTTAGAATATAGCTAATCAGAAAGTTAAGCTGAATAGAGTTCTCTATAATCTTCATATTAAAAAGAATTTGCTCAGTGTGTATCAAGTGGCTCATGATAATAAAGCTATGTGATCTTTAACACTAATGGTATTTCTATGAACGATCAAGCAACAGGGGAAACAATGTAGCAGTGCAAACCAAGTAGAGGAGGCATGTTTTGTGTTCTAGATCAGAGGAAGAACAAAAATGAAGAAGATCTGGTGTTAATCATTGAAGAAGCTGTTAATTCAGTACCTAGTTCTAAAGTGTTTAGTAGGACTTTCTGGCATTGTAGACTTGGTTACCCTAGTGACAAAATCTTAAATAGAATTATTAGTGAATGTAACCTGAGAGTTTCCTCTAGTAATGAAAATGAGTTCAGTTTTTGTAAATCCTGCAAATATGGAAAAATTCATTCTCTACCATTTAATATCTCCACTTCACATGCCTCTGAGCCACTTGAGATAATGCACACTGACCTTTGGGGACCTTCGCCACTAGTTTTCATGAATGGTTTTCAGTGCTACATATTATTTGTGGATGATTATAGTAGATACTCTTAGATTTTTTCCTAGAAAACTAAAGGTGAAGCACTGCATATGTTTATCTAGTTCAAGAATTTTGCTGAAAAACAGTTTGATAGCAAAATTAAAATTATTCAAAGTGATTGGGGTGGTGAATACAGGAAGTTTTCTAAGGTTTTACAAGATTCTGGTATTCATTTTAGGCACTCCTGCCCACATACCTCTCCACAGAATGGGAGAGCTAAAAGGAAACATAGACACATAGTAGAAACTAGTTTGACTCTTTTAGCTCAAGTTAAGATGCCACTGTTCTACTGGTGGGAATCTTTTCACATAGCAACAGAGTTGATAAATTTTTTACCTACTCCTATTTTGGGAGGAACTTCACCACTGTTTAGACTTATTAGAAGACTTCCTGATCATGAATATCTTAAGATATTTGGCACAGCATGTTATCCTTGTCTTATATCGTATAATGAACACAAGTTGCAATTCAGAACCATCAAATGTGTTTTCATTGGTTACAGCAATAATCACAAGGGTTATAAATGCCTGAGTCCCACTAGAAGAGTCTCTATTTTTCAGCATGTTGTATTTAATGAGCTTGCTTTTCCTTTTCTCTACAGGTTTTTTTAAATAAGAAAAGAGTACCTGTTGAAGAAGTGCATCTGAAGGTTTTCTTTCAACCAGCTTTATCATCATTACCCAATGCATGTCCAGTTATTAATCCTGATCCGAATGGCTGAGTAAGTCAATCTGACTCATCTCAAGAGATCTCAACACAAATTCCTCTACCAATGGTTGAAGAAGTTCCTACACAAGAAGAGCATTAGGATGAAGAAAACTCTTACATCAATCTTCCTGAATCAGGAAGTAGAGAAAATCAACTCCCTATGTCTCCAATTTCAAATTTTGAGGAAAGAAACACTACAATTTCGTCTTCACAAACTGGAAGTGTCTCTCTAGTAAGACAACAAATGGTGACCAGAAGCAAGGCAGGAGTTTTTAAACCCAAACAACCTTATGTTGGTGCTGTGTCAACTGAAATAATCACTCTTAGAGAACCTACCACTATTCAAGAGGTTATGAATTCAGCTGATTGGAAGCAAGCTATGTTAAATGAATATAAAGCACTCATATTGAACAATACATGGGAATTAGTTCCCTATAATGGGCAAAAGAAACTAGTTGACTGCAAATGGGTGGTCAAGGCTAAACCTTTAGCTGATGGGTCTAGTTTTAAACCTAAGGCCAGGCTAGTTGCAAAAGGTTTTCAGCAGAGACCAGGAGAAGATTTTGATGAGACTTCCAGTCCGGTTCTGAAAACTTCCACCTTGAGGTTTGTTCTATCTCTTGCTGTAACCTTTAGATGGAAAATAAGACAGTTAGATATTAATAATGCCTTTTTGAATGGTGATCTACAAGAGCAAGTTTTAATCTGAAGGTTTTGTACCCCCAAAATTTCCTCACCATCTTTGTCTTTTGAAGAAGTTACTATATGGCTTGAAACAAGCTCCTTGGGCTTGGTTTGAGAAAATAAGATCAACCTTATTAGATTGGGGATTTGTTCACTCTAAGTGCGATACCTCTTTGTTTTTTTTTTAATGAAGAAAAAAGAATTTGTTATGTTTGTTCTCATCTATGTTGGCGATATAGTGGTGACTAGAAATTCCTCCAAAATACTAGAAATATTGATCAAACATCTTAATTCACATTTTGCTCTCAAAGATCTAGGTTTGCTTCATCATTTTCTGGGTATTGAGGCTTACAGAGACGACACTGGGCTATATCTAAAGCGGAGCAAGTATATTATGTCTATTCTTAATAAACTCGGCATGATAAACTGTTCATCAATTCCTATTCCTATGATTGTCAATCGACATTACTCTAAAGAAGATGGTCTTCCACTTAAAAATCCTATTACATATAGGCAAGCTATTGGGGCGTTACAATATTTAATCAACACGAGAACAAATATTACCTTTACCATCAATAAATTGAGCCAATTTCTCTCGTCACCAATAGATGTCCATTGGCAGGCACTTAAATGAATCTTGAGATATTTGAAGGAAACTATTTGTCTTCCTCTGCACATCAAACCGAGCACCCACCTGATGCGACAAGGTTTTTCAGATGCGGATTGGGCCGTTTGCCCAGATGATCGGCGGTCAATAGGAGGATTCTGTGTGTTTCTTGGTGATTCTCTGATTTCATGGTTTGCTAGAAAGCAGCCTGTAATATCTTGATCCTCTGTTGAATCTGAATACAGGGCTCTAGCTAATTTGTCAATAGAGCTTGGATGGTTTCAATCACTATTTGGTGAGCTGGGCATTCATTTGAAACAATCTCCGATTGCTTGGTGCGACAACTTGAGTGTTGCTGCCTTAGCTTCCAATCTAGTTTTTCATGCTCAATTAAAGCATGTCAAACTCGATGTTCACTATATCAAAGACAGGGTCCTCAGACGGCAACTTTCAGTTTGTTGTGTTCCTTCATTTGAGCAAATTGCTAATTTTTTCACCAAGGCCTAATCCTATTCTCGGTTCTGGGCCTTCAGAGACAAACTAGGCCTTCTTCCCTCACCCAGGCCCAGTTTGACGGGGGATGTTAAGAATATAGCAAGTCCAACAGTAAAATCCATTCTATTTAAGCCCAGTCCTACTAAAGCCAGATAGCTAATTGTATTCTTCTAGTATATTCTTTTCTTGTTGTACACTAGACACGTCTCTTCCTCTTATGCAAACTAGGATTTCTATCCTGTCTATATATAGAATAGAAAAGGGCCTTGAACAGTGCGCCTCATTACAAACATTTCCTTTGTTATTATAATCTTGTACGACACACACGAGTGCTTCTCCTAACAGAATCACATGTCGACTGATGTTGGGACACTATAGTATTAGGGTGCTGGCTGGTACTACTTGTAATAGCATCCGTCTCCAGCCTTAGTTCAATTTTCTCTTGTAATTCTGATGCATATATTGGCCAAATTCCGCACCCTTTTATCCTGTGATTATATTTTTTCGCATGAGAATCAAAGAGATATCCAAAAAAGAATTCACATGCAAACTTGCAAGTGGCGCCCTCATCAAATTGCCTTCTTCGGTTTTCCTTCAACATGCGATCCACTGGATCATACCATAACAAAACATGATCTGTACTCAGATTCCCAAAGAAACTGGGTTTGTCATCACCCCTGTAATAGATCTTTTCATCATCAAAGTGGAATTTTCTATCAACTCGTGGCCAACCCAATGCGGAAATAATACAACAAGAAGCGAAACCCAATAAATAGTCAGAAGAAGCTGGTGCAAGCTCAATACTAATGGAACTCTTAGCGGTCTGAGAATATTTGAAGCCCCCTCCTCGAATTGTGCTTCCAGGATAACAAACTCTAAGCTCACTAGAGTTATGTATTGCTCGCATTAGTGGAAAACCAAAGCTCTCCAGTGATGGGCAGTCAGTGAGGTAACAATAAATAAGGGAAGATGGAAGTTCTGGTAAGGACCTAAGCCTCTTGCATCCACTCAAATCAATTTTTCTGAGCTCTGAAAGATGCTTGATGCTATTTGGCAAACTCTTCACGCTGCTTCCTTCTAGTGATAGAATCTTCAACAATGACATGGCACTGATATTGTCAGGGATCTCAGAAACCTCACAGTATTTTACATGCAATTCTTCTAAGGAACACCAGGCATCAAATAGAATGAGTAATTTTGATTTGTCTATTACTCCTTCAAAACAATAAAGAGAGAATATTTTAAGTGATGTCAAACAACTTAGCTCATTTACTTGAAAACTCCTAAGAGGCCCACTGAGATATAGCTCTTCAAGTTTATTGAACCATCCAACTGGCAAGTTTAATGTTTTGATACTTGTACCATTCAAATGTAAACTTCTCATTTCTTCTGATGACAACAAAAACTCCTCCAAAGTATAGCAGCGCGTCAGCTTGAGTTCCTTGAGAGATTTCAAATGGTTATCCGAGTGAAGACTCTTTAGTTTGATGCACCCTTTTAGATTCAAAGAAACAAGTTTAGGAAGAGACAAGATTGATGGATGAATACTACATAAACTTTGACAATAGCTGAGGTCCATTATTTCAAGATTTTGTGCCATGGAGAAATCAGGCAACTCCTGTAACATCCACGAATGGGCAAGATTTATTATCTTCAAATTCATAATATCCTGTGACAAGTAAAAGAGAAATGTTATCAAAAAGGCCCTCATAATTCAATTAGACTAAAGAATGAAACATGCATTAATATATAGCCATACCTGCACACCATCCGATAGTTTTACAATATTGCTATCATACATTTGGATTTCAGCAAGTTTGTCCGCACAAAAACCAAGTGACAGAGTCTTCAAAGGATAGTGCCTCCAACAAAAATATCTTAGTTTATTAGGAAGTGATTCTAGACCAAAAGGAAAAAGCACTTTATATGTGTGTTGAAAATTAAGATCAATCTTGAGAAATCTTAAATTACTCATTCTTCTAAAAGCATCAGCACTCAAGGGTATGTCACTTTTTAACTCATGTGTGTTCAACGCAATGCCTTCAATTATATCAGTTCCCTAGAACATAACAAAATTCAAATAATATATTAAACAAGTGGAGTGTAAAAATTCTTTAATGAAATAATTTAATGAATGAAAAAGGAAGTTAAAGCATCCTTCATTTACCTTGTTATTTTCAAGTATATCTTGAACTTCTTTTGCATCATTTAATCGACTTCGACATTCAGGGTGCTCTCTAGATTCCTCACGAACTATTTCTTCAGCCATTTCTTGTAGCACATCATGAATTTCTACTCTATTGTCACTTGAAATAGTTATGAGTGCTGTATCTAGAAGCCTATCTATTCCAATATCTACGTAGAGGCCATCGTTACAAGCATCTAGCACCCTCATAATATCTTCTTTCTTTTCTCCCCTGAAGAAGAATGCAATATTTAAAAATATCCCCTTTTCTGGTGTCTCAAGTCCATCATAGCTCACTCTCAATACTGTTTGAATTTCTCTATTTGGATACTTTCTCAATTTTCTAAGGGCACTCTCCCATACTTTTATATTCCTGGAGTTCAAAAATGAACCCAGAACTTTTAATGCCAGAGGAAGTCCTTTTGCATATTCAATTGCCTGTACCGATAACTTTTCATATCCTTGTTTAGGATAGCCTTGCTTGAAAGCCTGCCGACAAAAAAGTTGAAGCGACTCTTCATTGTTTAATTCTTTCACCTCATGTACTTTATGAACTCCTCTACTAATAAGAACATGTTTGTCTCTACTTGTAATGATGACTTTGCTTTTTGGTCCCAATGAAAGATTTTCTTCAATAAGATATTGCAAATGACTGGGAGTGTCTATATCGTCAAGCACTAGAAGAACTCTTGCTCGACGAAGCCTCCTTTGAATATTAGGCATTCTAACCATTGTGAGATTTTCTTCGTTTAGTAGAACAATGAGAATTCTTTCAAGTAAACAAGTCAATCCAATCTTTTTTGATTCCTCTCTCACATTTGCTGCAAAGCAAGAACTATCAAATTGGTGGGAAAACTTATCAAATGTGGCACGAGCCAAGGTTGTTTTACCTATCCCTCCCATGCCCCAAATTCCAAGAACTCCAACTTTTTGTGAGTCATCTTTCATAAATGATTCAATAGTAGCCAAATTTTCCTCAATTCCCATAAGGCTCTGTGGCTCAATTGTGTCTTTACCTTCTAGCTTTTTTGATACATCTTTGATTATTCCATCAATAAGATCAGATTCATTTCTGCCATGATAAAAGAAAAAAAATTTTAAAAAATCACACAGCACATTTTTAAGAATAATGTAATACGAGCCTCAATATAATTATCAATATTACATGTACGGATATAATTATCTTTAAAATTTTTATGAGGAAAATATATAATGCACAAACTATGACAAGATTTATCTAATAAATAGAAAGAGGAAACAACTTACTGAAAATTTGAGGAATGATGATAACCAGATAAGTTTGCAGTTTCTTTTAAGACAGATCTCCACACCCGCAACAAGTTGTCTTTAAACTTCTCCTCATGTTGAGCAAATGAATCTGCATAAGATCCCTCCTGATGCCTAACGTGTGATGGGTCTACATTATAGAAAACTGGGATTACAATTTGATTATTGACTCGCTTGCATTCCATTATTTTCTCTAGCTCTTCTAAGCACCACCTTGAAGAAGCATAGTCTTTTGAGAATATCACCAGCGCAATTCTTGATCTTTCTATTGCTTCCCAAAGTGCAGATGATATTTCATCTCCTCTTTCTAGCCTCTCATCCTCATACACATCTATCCCCCTTAGTCGTAACTGCTTCGTCAAATGGCTAAGAAATCCGCGTCTAATGTCTGAACCTCTAAAGCTAACAAAAACATCATATTTTTCCTGCCGAACTTTGGAAGAAGTCGTAAAAGTTGCCATTACTGGACATAAACAAAAACCATAGTGTTAATTATTCCTAATAAGTTTGATGCTAATCTCTCCCCTCAAGTTTCCGTTTGTAACATTCTAATAAACATATAACTGCTTAAATCTTATATGTCTACTCCCATGTGAGTTTAATTTGTATTTAGCATGGCGATTGGGGGGGGGGGGAAGGCAGCTAGCATGGGCGGCTTGGATATAATTAAAGCTGGTTTCACATCTAGAACATAATAAAGTGGGAAAAAACCATCAGTAGTTGCCAAAAACCATTGTCAACGCCAGAAGAACAGGATAGCCCCTTTACAATTGTAATTCAGACCAATAAAGAGGAAATAAATGAGATAAAGGTAAGTAACTAGGCGGAGTAAAGTTCTCCTCCAACAAAAAATAGTTGAGCATCTCAAAAGTACCAATGCTACTAATTACAATCTGAAATGGGTTGAAGGACTTATTAGCTTAAACAAGTGGATCAGACTTGAAGGAACTAAATCTAAAATCCACATAGGAGCGTCCAGGCGTCATTGAATAGGCCAACATGCGAAGCGAAAGAATCAAATGAAATCTCTGTTCTTCCTGGAAGAATAGGGATTATTAATGCAGAGGGGAGAAATTTTTTGGTGAGTAGAATATATCAGAGTGCGTTATAAAAGCTGAAAAATAAAATAGAAATTATAGTATTTTATTAAGTTTAATTATGCAATAAAAAAAATTATAGGAGAGATATTCAGAATATATGATTGAGATTCACTATCTCACAGAAACTTCTATTTAAAATTTAACATAATATTGATCCTGCTTCATCATAAAATTCAAACAAGGGGAAATGAAAGATGGTGAAAAGAGCAAGAACATAACCATATATATGGAACTCATTAGGAACATTATCCTGATACGTAAGTATTTATGCATGAATAGTTCGAAGATATAAATTTTACAAAGACGAGGAAGAAGATCATCATACCTGGATCGATCAAACCTTATTTCTGGCGAAGTAAGAGCAAAAGTGATATCTGAGTAGACAGCAATGCAGTTTTTAAGCGAAGAACAAGGTTTCTGGGAAGCTTCCTTACTAGTAAGAGGAGTCTTCGTTATTAAAAACCAGCTTCAATAATTTAAAAAGCGTAATTGGGTTTGGCGCGTTTCCCGCAGAAAGAAAATAAAAATCAAATAAATACTCCTCCGGTCCTAAATATATTTAGGCCCGGAGGAATATTTGATTTGTTAACTTGATTGCTTTATAGTCTAATGCTATCTTTTCAAACAGCAAGCGTGTAATTTAATTAGCTGATGGTGGCAGGTATGTGCGGGTTTAACCAAAGATTTTATGCTTGTAGTCTAAGCATGTAACTTATACTTTTCGAAACCTTAATATAAGACCTGTTTTGTAGTACAATTTATATTACAAAATAGATCTTATATTAAAATTAAAGATAAGAGGAGTATTAAATATTTGTTGGAAGAATTTTACCGTCAACTCACAAGATCAGTTGGAGTTCAATGTGGCTAATAATTTATTACTTTCAATGTTTTGATAATCATATTCGTGCGTCTTTTTCACATACTCTGCCTGAGACTAATACTATATTGAGTTATTTAAGTTGGCTCAATAGTTTCTGCACGCTTGAATGACATTAATGTCATTGCTTGCAAGAACAATTTTTTACTCGGTGATTTCCTCATTTATTTAAAATTCAGTGGCACATTGGAAATTGACATCTAATCGATTTTCAATCCTCCATATAACTAATGTTTTATTACCTGTTTATTTCCTGAACCATATTATATAATGGGTTAATATCATTTCATAATTCCTGAAATTTAACATCTTTTTGGTTTTGCTCTATGAAATTTGAAATCAGTGATCTTGATTCTTAAAATTTAACATCATTTTAGCTTCGGTCCCTGAAATTTGAAACCATTAGTTTTGATATTTGAAACTTGACCTCAATTTAGGTTATTAGAACACACTGTTCCAAGAACTAAATAATCTTTAAATGAATCAAAATGAAGTCAAATTTTAGGGATTAAAACTTTTAGTTTCAAATTTCAAAGACTCAAACCAAAATGGGGTCAAATTTTATGGATTAAAAATTGTATTAATCCTTGTATCAATTAAAGTTGTACAAATTTCTCATTTTTTGATAGCGTAATTTTCTTATTTTATATATAATTGATCCTTATATTTATACATATATACACACATATATAAATAATACATTTGTTATAGAGATGGGGGGCGCATTCTTTCATAAATGTTGACAAGAAACAGGACCTACTTTACATATAGCTGACTAACGAAGATAGTAATTAAAAATAATATTTGACGGTAATCATTGCTTCTTTTGACAATTTGGGTACATAAAAAACTAGCAATCTACCCCGCGCAATGCGTGGATGAACTCACTCTAACACATCAAAGAGATATATATTAACCCATATGCTTTAAATATAATACTGCGAATTCATGTCCAAATAATATACGAAAACATGAACATGACATCACTAACCATCAAATGATTACCAATTGCCTAAATGGGAGTCAGTTTGAGTACAAAATTATCAATCACAGCATGCCTATTTACTTACAGAAAACTGCACGCACTATATCAAGATCTTCCTAGAAAAATGTCATTCCATTATTTTAGCTTTTTATTTGTACACCTCTTTAATTAGCCAAAAAGTAATGCAAGTAATTTGATATTGACATTTAGGAGGAGTTTAAACATCTCAATATTTTGATGGTTAACCTCATTGCAATGAGCACAAAACATTAAAAAAAAGAATGTATCATAATATATTTAATTTGCATTTTGATCGATTGATTGGATATTATTATAGTTTCACAATGATTATAATATGATCATGAATTGCATAACAATTATAGTTTGAAATAAAAAAAGAATCAAACAGATGATATTTAAGATCAAAACGAAAATTGAGCCTATGGAATTAACTAATAAACTTTAAAAAAATAAATCAAAATGAAAATTGAAAGGAAAAAACAAAAGTAGGGGAGTTATCAGCTATGCTAATCTCCTCCTTTCCAAGCTGGGGTTAATAAAAAATTTACATGAGTCAACTTTACGTGGGAGACAATCAATTTGAAAATTCAAAGCTCACATGACTTGGAAAGGGAAAAAAAACATAGGCAGGAAATTATAAGAAAACACCGAACAATGCCACTTCCACGACGTTGGTATCTGTAAGTCCTAAAATGCATAAAAAATATAACTTCTACAGAATGTTATTTGTTTACAGAGATGCATCAACAGTAATTCCAACTGACTAAATTAAGTCGACGAAAGGAATATCATGTAAGGTTAATATTCTTCTCGACTTTCCATGATGCATGCAAGTCAATTGTTAATGAAAAAAAAATTCTCAACTTATTGTATGCAGTGAAATTTTGAAGACATCAAGTTGTAACTAAGTAAACTTAAGCAAGTTTCTCCGCCTCTAAGTATATATCACACACCAGCTACCTTAACTTATTCTTACATACATTTCTGTAACACTATCAAATCTGTAACACTATCAAATTGATGTCTCAGCTGCTGCTGCTTATTCACATAACATTTTCATAGAATTAAACATATCAATTCGAGGTTTCATATCTCGCTCTGATATGCTCCACGTATTAGTGTATTCATCATTTTTCTGGTGGATCCAGATCTTCTATCTCTGATAGCTAAACACGACTGCCAATTATCAAAAGTGTCGAAATCTCTAGAACTATAATGCGACTACTCAAACTTCCTACTGAGCCTACTACTCATACAATTGATTTGAACAGTCACCAACTACTAAATCCTAAAGTCTACCATATGAAAAGGCTAAAACATTTTGCTGGTACTTCAATATGGTCTCACAATTCAATTAGGAAAATTCGATTAGGAAAAAAAAAGGGAAAATGCTAACCACATTTTATTGAATTTACGGACTAATATCTAAACCTGCTAATGCCTCCACATTATTTGAAAC